TTTAATGAACATTTAACAGAGATTTGGGGTTTTCATTAATTCATTGTTGCACTATTTTCTCTACCCTCCTCCCCAGTTCATTCTTCTTCCTTTTTTTCCCCCTTGAAAGTCTGTTTTAATTGTCCAACTGCCACAGTGCTTGTCAAAGCCAGTTCTGATTAATCTCCTTTGTCAGTGTGTCCTTTGCCATTCCCTATCACCCCTCCTTGAGAGAGACTTCACCCTGATTCATAGGGAAAAGGGGATGGCATATTCTCTTAGCTACTTCCTGCTGAAAAGGGATGCTGTAGGTTTCAGGGAACTGCCTGTCTTTTGGCTGGCAGTGCAGTTCCTTACCACTGAGCCAGTCCTTACTACAGAACTCCCATATTTAAAACAGGCCACAAAAGTAATGTTCTATGCCCTACTTTGGTGAGTGACTGGGATTTTAAACACTTTCAAGCTACCCTCTGTGTTGCTCTCTTCCCATCCAGAGTAAAAAAGAATAGAGAAAAATTAGACTGTTAGTCCAAAGGACTAACTGTTAAACCTTCAGGCCAAAATCAGCATAAAAGACAAGACAGGACATTATATAATGTTTAAAGGGTCATTAGAACAAAAGGACATAGCTGTAATTAACACCTACACACCATTGTTAAAGCTTCAGCATACACAAACCAAACTTTAACAGATTTGAAGAATGAAATAGCACTACAATAATAGAAAACCACTATCAAAGTACACCACTTCTAAAAAATGACATGACTATAAAGAAACTCAGCAAAGACTCAGAACTAAACTATACAATTAATCAACTTGACCTTATATAAACATACATAGAACACTCCAAGAGGTCGAAATATAATCTTCTACAGTGCTCATGCAACAGTCTCAAGAACAGACCTTGTCATAAAGTAAGCCTCTGTTAATAACACTAAAACACTATAAAGCATCTTCACAGAGCACAGTGCTGTAGAATTAGAAATCAGCCACAGGAAGATCAAGGGGGAGAAAATCCAAATACTTGGAAACTAAATGACACCTTGCTTAACACTATTGGGTTGTTGTTGTTATGTGCCATCGAGTTACTTGTGACTCATAGCGACCCTGTGTACAAGAGCCCTAAATGCCATTTTATCCTGTGCCAACCTCGCCGTCTCAAACACACTCATTCCCACCACTCCACTCACAGAATCGATCCATCTCATCGAAGGTCTTCCTCTCCTGCACTCTCACAAACATGATGTCCCTCTCCAAGGACCAGTCTCTCCTAGCAACATGCCCAAAGTATGTCAGACGAAGCTTCAGAATCCTTGACTCCGAGGAGCATTCTGGCTTCACCCTCTCTAGGACAAACCTGTTTGTTCTCCTAGCAGTCCATGGTATATTCAACACTCTTCTCCTTGGCATCAATTCTCTTTCTATCATCCCTATTCACTGTCCAACTCTCCGATGCATAGCACGTAATTGCAAAGACAATAGCCTGGATCAGGCGCACCTTTGTCTCCAGCCTGACACCGTTGCTCTTCGGTACTCT